CACGTATCCGGCCTAGGGGTCGTAATTTGAAGACCCCCTGATTTAGTGCAATATAAAAAATACAAATAATTTTTCTGCGTACCACCAAAGTTTTCTCACGGACCACCAGTGGTTCATGGACCACCAGTTGGTGACCGCTGCTTTATATAACCTGTGTGATAAGAGTTAAACAGTTTTGCAAGATCTGTCTCCCTGCCATAACATTTTTCAAAAGGTGCGCAATATTATAAAACAAGCTTAGCAACTCAAGTAGCAGCTTGGGCATAGCTAATTTCAGGCACACATTTGGTCTTTCATCAGCCCTTTTTTCTGATACCTTGTTCAGATTTCTTTTGTACTTGTGTGGAAATAATTGATTGCAGCTATCTTGTTTTTGCTTTTAAACTGCAAACCTGAGTACAGGTCCTGTGATTTTTTGTTTTGTGTACAACGCCTAGTTACTGTAGGCACTTGAGAAATAATAATTAAAAATTGCATGGCATTTATTACATAGGAGGGGTGGCATTCTGTGTTCTGTCTTGGAAATGGCACTGTGGGAAAGATCATAAAGAAACAAATGCATTCTTGGCAACTGTTTCTCCATCTCTAGAAAATCTGTATCGTGTTTGAAAAGAAAAAAAGTAGAATTTTGTCTGAAGGTGGCTAAGAATGCAGTTGCTTTCTGTGCTTGTTACACGCATATATGTATGTAGCCACCTTTACATTTAACTATACATTTATAATGAGCCGAGGTGGCGTAGTGGTTAGGGTGCAGTACTGCAGCTACTTCAGCTGACTAAAGTAGTTCAGCAGATCAGCGGATCAAATCTCACCGGCTCAAGGTTGACTCAGCCTTCCATCCTTCCGGGGGGGTAAAATGAGGACCCAGATTGTTGGGGGCAATATGCTATTTAGTATACTGTCTTTGGTGTAAGCTGCCCAGAGTCCTCGGAAAGTGGGCGGCATAGAAATATGACTAATAAATAAAACTAGGGTTAAGCTCCTTAGCCCAAAAAATTAATCTCTTCCAATTCATACCCATAATTATATGCGCAGAAGGTCAAATTAGACTGAATGGTTGGCCAAGGGTTTTCTTAATTAACCTTGTGGCTGAGCGAAATTTTATATTGAAAGAAAGCACTTTTTTTTGTGGCATATCACTTGTTTCTGTACTCAAACTGCCCTTGATTCATTAGCGATTTTCATTAACAAACGTATTTTAAAAATTTAAAAATATTGATGATGATGTCAATACAATATTTTTAAAAACTAAGTTTCTTTTGATTTAAAATATTTTATTCATAATTTAAAACTATATTTAAAATATGATAAACTAAATCTTGGCATTAATTATTTAATATATCCTAATTTGTTTGCATCACTGTTCACAAAAGTTTTCAATACCAATTTGTGGGAGTTTCAAACCTGAATATCTTTGCTATAGATCTGTATGGCTATAACTTACAAGCATAATTGGCTATAGGGTACTGTATCAGCTCACCTTTGTATCTTTCTTACTCTTTTTCACTATGAAGGCATAATGAAAATAGAAATGAGGATTACTTTGATAATCATTCTATATCAGAGGTGTCAAACTCAAGGCCCACGGGCCAAATCCGGCCCACGGGGTGCTTAAATCTGGCCTGTGTGGCCGGCCTGGAAATACCAAAGGACTGACCCATGGTGCCTCTGGCAGCCAAAACCAGGTGTGGAGGACGCCACACATGCCCCCCTGTACCTCATTTTCAGCCTGGATGGCCTCCTGCAGCACTTTGCCGGCCAAAACGGCGCACAGGGGGTCACATGCACCCCCCACAGCCCATTTTGGCTAGCAAAGTGCTGCAGGAGGTGTCCATCCCATCTCCCCCCCCCCCCCGGCCCATGGAGGAGAACTACAATGCTGATCTGGCCCTCAAAGAAATCCAGTTTGATACCCCTGTTCTATATGTTCCTTTGCTGTGAACATACAAACTTTGTCATTGTTTCCAATAGTTTGCAAAGAGTTTAATCCTGGCATGTTAGCTATATCAAGACAATTCTTTCTTATTTAAAGCATTAGTGGATTTTAAAGTGGGATTACAATAAATGAAGGCAAATATATGTGTCCCAGGATAATATTGGTCCCGATGACAGACTCAGATTGGATCCTGGAATTACGATCTTTACAATATAGATCGTAATTCTATATTGTAAAGAATTACAATATAGTTTTTGTAACTGGAAGAGAACTTTTCTGAAAATCCATTTCGTTTTTGCTTTTTTCTCTTGTTTCATTTCTCTGTAAAAAGATCTATTTTCTCCTTTAGGATTTATTCTGACCTTTTAAAACTTCTGTGTTGCCCAGTACAGTGATAATTTGGAAAATACATATTTCTTGAAAAGTGCTCACATCCTTGAGTAATTATTCAATAGAATGATGCAGTAACATTCTGCTATCAGGAGTTGAGATACTCTATTAGAGATGATCAACATTTGATTCATAGAGGGACATTTGATTACGAGGATATATCTTTTCAAGTCCCAAAAGTGCTTTTTCAAAAGACAAGGGGACTTAGTTTTTCCTTGAAGATGTTTCGCTTCTCATCCAAGAAGCTTCTTCAGTTCAGTTCAGTTCACTTGTGCATTTAGTTTGAAGGTTATTGGAACAACTAGGAGTTTGTATTTTTAATATTTTATTTAACTGTGATATTGTTGTGACCTAGGCTTACTTAGTCATACAGGACACAATTATTCTCAAACAAAACTATTTTATTATAACAGCTGAGAATTACTTCATTCCCAGTTTAGTCCAAATTAATTCCAAAACAAGTCCTTCAGAAAAAGTCCTTCAGGCTTATCACAGACCTTTATCATCTTTGGCACCCTGCCAAAGGCCTTTCTTGGCAAAGCCCACAAAGTTCAGAAACAAGAGGCGCCGACTGGAAAACAGATTTTGCAACGTTGCTTTTCTACAAAGAGCCCAAGAGCCTTTGCTGTTCTTTTAAGCCTTATGGGAGGGGCCAATCATGTCCTGGCCTTACTCCCAAGTCGTCCTTTTTGCTTTAGCTGCTCCTGCCTTCTGGCAGTTCTGCTTATGGATGCACTAGGAAGGCTCCTCCTGTTCCTCTGCCTCTCTGCTGTCCGACTCTGGAGACTCCGGAGTCCACACATCACTCCCAGATGGCCCAGGCCCCAGCTCTGCCTCTGATGCAGAGCCTTCGTCTGGACCCTCCCCAAACTCCAGGACTGGCCCATGGTCCTTCCCAGCCTCCTCACTCTCTGACTCCGGTGCTAGCTCCGCAGGTTGCTGGCGGACCACAACAGATATGTTTTCATGTTTAATTGCAAGAACCAGTTAAAAATTACCTGTATCAGTAGTGGAATCCCAATTTTTTACTACTGTGAGTGTGGCTTGGTGGGCGTGGCAGGGAAAGGATACTGCAAAATCTCCATTCCCACCCCACTCCAGGGGAAGGATACTGCAAAATCTCCATTCCCTCCCCCCTCTTGGGGCCAGCCAGTAGTGGTATTTACCGGTTCTCCAAACTACTCAAAATTTCCGCTACCGGTTCTCCGAACTGCTCAAAATTTCCGCTACCGGTTCTCCAGAACCTGTTAGATTTCACCCCTGACCTATATCATATTGATTAGAAAAGGAATTATGCAAACATAGTGTCCATAAAGGCGCCATCTGCATTTTAAGCAAAGATGGCTTTCCCTCATTTCCTAGAACTCTACCTGAGACTGCTATGTTGCTCTTGCGAGGAGTGGTTTACTGGAGCACTTGTGAGTGATCTCAAGTCTTGTCTAAAGAGGAATTACAAAGAGCAGTACTGCTTGCCAGTGCTTCGCTTGACTAAGATTGTCAGCTCTGCTTTTAGCATTGCCATCTTCAGTTCACCATTTCTTCTCTGAAGTCCAGAAAAATCTTATTTTAAATTGCTTTGTAACCATTTTCAAGATTAAAATAAAGCCAGTGTGAGAACTTCATAAATAAGGAGCAAAATATGCTCAGATGTTATTTTGAAAGATGTTTATATTTTCTTCATAAATTATTCAATTAGCATTGTTGACTGAAAAAAAAAAACTGTGGCTCCAGATTATTTATTGCTATAGTGAGAAAAGTCTAGCTGTCTCCACTTACCCTATTTAGTCTGTTACTTTGACTGCTTAGATTGCCAATGTGCTGGAAGTCTAGTCTAAAAACAAGAATAAAATGTTCAGTGTTGCATGATGGCTTTGCTTTGAATGATACAATGAAAAGAAGCCACTTAAAACGAACAGTTGGAAAAAACAGTATTGGACATCAAGAAAAACATTATTAATTGTAGTATTGTTTATGATATGTCACACAGTTAGGCAGATATTCACACTGAATTTGGCATTTTTATCTACCTATTGAGTCCTTCTCAAGGAGCTGGGATAGACAAATGCTGATATTTGATAATTTTAGAGGTATTGTTACAGATATTAATATATTACTTATTAAATTTATATTATTATTGTTGTTACCATCATCAGTAATAAAAATTATATTCCTGTGATGATATTGATATGATGATGTTATCTAGTTGGGTAATTAAATGGCTGCAAGCAAACAGCCAAGCTCAGGGATCAACCAAAACTTAGTATAAGCTGGTGTTAAAAGGTGGCAAAGGAATCTTTTAGATCTTTGTCTCCTTCTGTTTACAAAAGAGAAACGGTCAATAAATGTGTTCATCCTGGTTTCAAATACATGCAGGTTATGGTTTTTTAGACTGTGGTAAGACCCCTTGAATTCATCAATCAGTATAGATGTAGGTCTTTTCTTCATCAATCAGTATAGATGTAGGTCTGGTTTCTGTATCTAACTCAAACATTGAAACAGTTGTCTAATACTACATTTTTGCGTTGATGTGATAGAATATATATAATGTGGTATGGTTTTTTTACATGCAACATATCTGAATATAAGGATATGTTATGTCTTATATGGAAAATGTACGCCTTTGAAAGAATCACAAAGCTGTATCTGATGTTACTTGATGGACTTATTTTTCCAGTGCTCTTGGTGGATCTTCTGCTCTTCACATTCCTGCTTTTCCAGGTGGAGGCTGCCTCATTGATTATGTTCCCCAAGTATGCCAACTGTTAACCAACAAGGTAATATCCAGAATAAACAAACTTTTTACCAAGATATTACAATACAAGGGCCCTAGAATAGGGTAAAAATCAATTATTCTTGGTAAATTGGTAAACCTTATGATCTGAGGTTAGTTCTGTCAGAAATTTCAAAACCAAAAGTGAAATTGCCTAATGAAAGGTCACTTTGAGGTGATCCAGGAGTAGCTGAAAAAAACATGCAAAGCCTTCTCCATTTCAGCTGTCCAATTTGCATCAGAGTTTTCATCAATCTGATTATGAAATAGTTGGAAGTATCTTTTATTCTTGTTTAAATTGCTCTTGCTTAATAGAATCTTATAAATTATGAATTTATGAAATAAAGTTCCAAATGCATTTCCATAATTATACCGGAATCTATCTTTAGAGTTGTTTTTGTTATGGCTCTCTATTGGTTAGTTGTTGTTGTTTTAATTTGCAAGTACACAGATCTGTTTTTAAACTACAAAAAACTGTTCCCTGTTTAGAGTTCCAATTAGTAGACAGATAACTATATAATGTGTGATAAATAAATAGGAATATTGTGCAGAAATTATGAACTGATAAAACATGATAGACATGTTCTAACTGCAACACTTAAATGTTGGCCCAGGAAATTTCAGAGGTGTGAAATATACAAAATTGCTTTTTGATATGAAACAAAATGCTTAGAAACCATAGGCTTCTTCAAAATACTTATGAAATATTGTATGAAATTCCAGATGGATAATATATTGCCATTATGTAAAATAGCAGAATCTAATATTATAAAGGTTTAATCAATATGTTTATCCTTAAAATGTAAAATATGTGTAATTATTATTTCTGTTTAATACACCAACCTCTGATGCATGTCAATATATTTTTCCAGAATTATACTTTCAATTTCACTATACAAAATGTATAAGTTATATTATTAGTAAAGCAAAAACTCTCCCAAATTAATATTCTGTATTGTAATTTAGTTTTATCATAATTGCACTTATTTCTTCTTTTCTTTTATAGGTTCAATATGTTATTCAGGGTTACCATAAGAGAAGGGAATATATTGCAGCATTTCTTAGTCATTTTGGAACGTACGTATATATGTTTCACTTTAAAATGGAATATAACCGTAAGCATAGGTTTCTGTCTATTCTTATTCATATTTACTAAAAATATTTTTGCCACTTGGAGTTTTCCTAAATATGCATATTTAAACTTGGTAGTCCTGAGTTATATTACTGTAGTTATATAATATTTGTATTTATTGTACATTAATAGATAAATTATGCCATACTATAGAAGGAAAGATTTTTAGCATTTCTTCTTTCTCACTCTATTCTTCAAAATCATCTCTGAAGAGTTGATGAGAAAAGAGCCAAAAGAAGGGGAAATTATTAACAACAAAAACATAAATAATACAGATGGCACCCTTTGTTAGTTTATTTATTTATTAGTCTAATTAATAGTTGAAAGTAGAGATAGTCAAAATTCTAGATTAATGCTAAATATTAAGAAGACAAAGGAAGTCTCAACAGTATAATTAGTGAAATTATAGGTGAAAAAGGTGATAGGTAATTTTGAGGTTTGGATTCAAGAATAGATGGAAGATGGACAGTATGTTGGAAAAGAAATTGGAGGATTAATCCTAAACAAAATCATGACGGAAAAGACTATTTCTATGGGAACAAAGATCAGAATAGTTAAAACAATGGACTGCTGGCAGAAGCAGTCAGGCTCTTAAATGAAATAAAAACTGACAACTCCCTTGAGGCAATAATCAGCAAGCAGAAACTCACATACTTTGGACATAGTAAATGGGTGGATGCATTAGAAAAACTATGTCGAGTGAAATAGAAAAATGGGAAGATAATGGATAACATGGATGAACAGGATCAGCAAGATGACAATATGGATCAAGATAGCAGATTTTTGCCCATTTAGTTAACGAGCTAATTAATTTTCACTAACAGTTCCCCATCCAATTCCTGCCAGAGGTCACCTACAAGTGTGATAGATGTGGGTCAGTGCCATGCAGAAGCCTGAACCCGCATTGAAAAAGATCTAGATAATCCATTTCCTCCAGAACCTCCCAGAATTTTTCCTATTTTTGCCATTTTAATTCTGCTGTTATTTCGAATTATTCTAGTTGCAACATGTAGTTAATTCTGCCTTTAAAAGTGTGTGCATGTGTTCACCTTTATTTCAGCTTTTTTCAGGACATACTAATAGAAGGAAAAAATTAAGTACTGTAGTAAATTCTAATCACATTTGCTGCTCAAAAACTGAAGCTGCCAGAAGGAAAGTTCATTGGGTATAATGGAGTCTAAATAAGAACTAGGAAAACAAGAAGGTAATGGTAGGTGATAGTGGCCAGAACAGAATAATTAGTCAATATTGTTTGTGCCTGACTTGAGAGGGAAACAGTGCCTTCTGCCTTATTTTTGCTTTGTGGTTCTAATTATATTTTTCATTAATATATTTTTTTTAATAGTGGAGTGGTAGAGTACGATGCTGAGGGTTTCACAAAACTCACTTTGTTGCTGATGTGGAAGGATTTTTGCTTCCTTGTTCACAGTGAGTAGTTATTTTCCTTTGGGTACAAATATCTAACTGCTTGAAAATTTAAACAAAAATTAACACTGAAGTACCAAATACAGCAATACTTGCATCTCCTTCCCCCCCCCCCCCATCTGTCATGTGTTTTCTGCATTCTTCATACTTATGTAATCTCACCTGAAATATCAAAAAGGTCATAAGGTTTGTTAGATCATTTGTTCTTTTAAAATTATGTAAGATACAAGATACTTGAAAATCACAGACAGAAAAACATATTGGAGTATGCTTGATGTGCATATGTCAAGAGACAGTTACTAAGACATACTGGGAATATGTAGGAGATAGTTAGATATATATAAATGGATGTACTGTAGATATAAATATATACAATATATACTCTAGATCAGGAGTGTCAAACTCAAGGCCTGGGGTGGATTCGACCCTGCGGGGTGCTTAGATCTGGCCCATAGAGATGCCCTTGAAACAATGAAGGACCGATCTGCAGTGCCTCTGCCAGTGAAAATGGAGCTCAGGGGGGCTGCATGCGGCCTTCTTCAGCTCCATTTTCACTGGCAGAGGGTTGCAGGTGGCCATTGCAGCTGAAACAGAGTTCAGGAGTCCATTTTCTCTGGCAGAGCACTTGGACTGCCACTCATGCCCCTAACATGAGTGACGTCAAGCTGGCCATGCCCCCCCCCAGCCATGCCCCCCCCTTCAAGGTCAAACATAATGGCCCTCAATAAAATTGAGTTTGACACCCCTGCTCTAGATTTAGATTTAGAGCTTTGTATACTGAATTTATACATATACCCTGATATTTAGAAATTATCTCTGAGGTGTTGTTATACCTAAGAAATCCAACACCTTTTTCATTTAGTACCATCTATTGGAACATAGAAAATGCAACTCTGGAATATCCCCTCAGATATCTTTACAACTCATACACTGAGGATGTTCAAAAAGTCATTGCAATGTTAGCTGCTCTTCAAAGCCTTGAGTAACTTGGTGGTTGAGACACCGTACAAATTTTTATTGTTATAGAGAGTTTGCCTTCTGGACGCTTATTATTTTTTAAAAATTTATTTGTTTTAATACACACAGACACCCACCCACACATACCACCCAGAATTATTTAATAATCTTAATTGTATTAAATAAATAAATGTATGCAAATAGCTATACTCTCCTGTAACAATTGCTCTGTCTCTGTCTCTGGTCTTCAAATCCTTTCTGCCTTCTCATCTGCATCAGTGGTACCAATGACATCAAGAAGACTATCGTTGGAAGATGGTCTCATAATTGGCCTGCATTGTTTGTTTTCTCCCCAGGTCACTTACCAGTGTGAGACACTTGTTTATCCTAATTGTTTATTAAGTTGTTAGTTGCTTTGAGTTGTCTGTCAATAGAATATCACATAAATCATATTAGTAAATAACTATTGTGGTACTGTAGTTTGAAATAATTTTGAATAGTTCCATTTCCTGTTCATAACTAAATTCTTACAGAAAGGTTTCAAACCTTAGTAGATGTGTAATTTAAAGTACCTGCAATAGTGCAGCTAAATAGTCCTGAAATACAGTATCAGATAGCAAATGATTCTGTGATAGATGAGATTTCTCACTTAAATCTACTGAATCTCTGTAGTCTTGGAGATCACCATATTCATTGGCAGTGTTTTATATGTTAATTGTTTCCAATACCAGTATTGAGGCTTATTGAAAATATGCTTTCAGCAAAGTATGTTTTCCAAGGTTATTTTGTAACCAGGATTACTGTTCTTTATTACTCTCAAAATTCTTCTACAATTTATAATCCTAATTCCCACTACACAAATTGTTCAAATGCAACAATTTATTATTTGAATTTATGAGCAGTAATAACTCTTATTCTAGCTCAGACCTGCGTATTTTATGGCCCGTGGGACACCTCCAACCTTTTAGCTGTCTCTGGTTTGTGGCGGGAAGGACCGCCTCCACAACAGTCCCAGTTTCCCCTGCAAAAATTAAGTGCCCATCCCTGATCTAGTCATCCACTTTTTATCTTTGTTGCTTCAGAGAGCAGATGATTAGAAGATGTTCCTTACTATATATCATTGCATGTAAACGTCTTTTAAAAGTTCACTTCTTATATTTGGAATATTCGCACCGAAAATGTCCAGTACCCTCCTTTCTAATAAAAGTGAATTAGAAAGGAGAAAGGAAGCACACTTGAGACTTGTCAATGCAGTTTATAGTCAGGCAACTCTTTAGTTAGTATATCTTCAAGAGATTGACCGAATCTGTCCTCATCTTCCAGGTTTCTTAGCTGGGATTTTCTTTTACTTATATAGCAATGCAGAAAACTAATTTAAAATTTCTATACATAGTAGTTTATTTCTGCATAAGGAATTTTAAAGTTTGAAAACTTTCAAATAGTTTCTCATTAAACTTGAAATTACTGTGCTCCAGGAAAGTCAACAATCAGTATTTAATTATCCATGTTTTTAAAATCTAAATAATACTTTTGTCTTTCTATTTAATTAATTCTAAAGTTACTTATTGAGAGAAATTATTACAATTGAATTGTCGCCACTGATTAACTTACTCAAACTAGCTGATGCATTACTAGCTTTGTTGAATAACCCAAGGGAATCTGTATTGAGTTATGAAAAATAATGCATAGAAAACCACTGAAACATCTACCATATTTTTCACACTATAAAACACACTGTATCATAAGACACACAATAGCTTTACAGGAGGAAAACAAGAGGGGGACATCCGAAGCTCTCAAAAGGTCCGACCTTCGGATCTAATCCAGTAGTAACAACCCTAGGTGTGTGGGGGAATACCATCCAGTATTCATCTGGCTAGCATCCTTGCAGCAAATAGCTTGGTCAGCTTCAGCACGTTATCGCAGCCCCAGCACGTGGCTCGTCAGGGCTCCTCTCCATTTCACCTACCACCAGTCAACTGAGTTTAGTTGCTGCTGCTGCAGGGAAACACTGGAGCCTTCACTGCTGAGCAGTTGATTGGCAGTTGGATTGGCCTCCCGGAATACCACTGGTCAGCTGTTCTAGGCGGCGGGGATCAGGGCAGCCGCCAATCTTTGCTGCCGATCGCCACCACCATTTGGTTGGCAGTGAAGGCTCCAGCGTTCCCCAGTGGCAGTGAACAGCACCAGTGGTGACAGCCCTGCCGCAATATTTGCTCTATAAGATGCACAGACATTTCCACCCACTTTTGGGGGCAGGGGGAGTGCATCTTATGGTGGAAAAAATACTGTACTTTGTTTTTTTTGTAATTTGAGTTGATCTTATCTTTCATTTCTAATAGACTTGTAATTCTAAATATTTAATCACACGTGAAGTGTAATCAGAAAAGAATATTAATTTTCTCTATTTTTTCTTATTAGAAAAAACACAAAAGCGTAACATGAAAACACATGAACAAAAGTTACATTATTCAGATATGTTTTTTTTTTACTTTTATGCAAAATCAATGTCTTCATCTGAATTCCATCAGATGATAGAATATTAACTATAAATAGTTAAATGATCTCTCTTTGAAAGAGAATAAGTGGTTCAGAAATGTAGAAAAATAAAACAATGTGCTGAGGAATAATTTCCCTTTTAAAGCTGTTCATATTTGTATGTTAGTTGCTTAATTTTTAATTTGCAGATAAAAGATATGTATTTGAAATTGATTATTACAAAGTGAGTTAAAAAATTGAGTTATAAAATCCAAAATATTGGGTTTTCATAGCTTCCTCTCTGCTTAAATACCAGAAATCTGATGTAAAACATCCTGCAATAATTCCCAGCAGATTTTTCAAAGGATGAAGGACAGTTGGAATCACCCTACATGACCAGTTTCTGTTAATTGATAGTGGTCTCTCAATACCAGCTAGTCTCTTCAAAAGAATGTTATTCTAGGGCATATGGCTTGAGCCAATCATACAAACAAATTTGGCTGTTCTTCAAGTTCATTAGCATTCAGTCCATATTTGTTAACAGTTTGGTGTAATTCCCTGCTTATGGTACTCTAAAAATTAAAGTCTTATTGCAGTTCTCTCTGGATCGCTTGAATGTTTTGTTTGATGGAGAACAATAATTTTTAGTCAATTATTGTTGACAGTTGTAGAATAGTTTTATGATGGGCTCTAGTAATAAAAATATTCTTCAAAAAGGGTTTATTTTATCAGGACACATTTCTTACATTTCTTCTTCTAGCTGTTAATCTGATTTAAATTTAATTATGGAATTAACATAAGCCATATATGTTTTTATAATGAATGTGGTAATGGAATGTGGTAATTTCATATAATATCATACTGTTTTATCCATTCTGCAATTGAAGTGAACTATGTGTCAACTATTAACCTAACAATAATTTTCAATAATTTTACTGAGTCAAGAATTTCTGATAAATTTCTGAATACTAATGCAAACATTCAATTTCATGGGAAAACATCAGTATAACTGCTGGCAAAAATACTTTGCCACACATTATTATTGTTATTTTACACTGGTATAATACTTTTGGACTAAGTGACAGAAATACAGATTTCACAAATTATTCTTGGTTCACTTGTGTTTTTTTATTATTTGATGACTATCTTGATCTCTGTAAGAGCTAGCCATCTGGTTAACATATGCAGGGCAGTGGTACAAAGATGAGTATATGATTTTCAGTATAAAGCTGATTGTCACAAACATTCCTCCCCAAATCTCAGCTTCTTTGAAGAGCCAAATCCATTTGTGTTGTCCTATAATTAGAGTAGTCATTCCAATCCATGCTTCTGAGAGTGTTTTGGACTGTTTTAGTCATGTAAAGCGTGAAGTTCCAAGAACTCTTTTTTTTTTTTTTTTTTGCTCTATTTCAGTTTAGTTTGGTGTGATTTTCTGAATTATCTTCCCTACACATTCTGAACAGAGTGTACAACCCCAATAGTTACATTACAAATAGATACATACCTACCCAGCAGGTTCATTACAAAAAAAAAACCCATCTAGTTACAAATTTAAGCACAGAGAAAGC